CAACAGAGGTGGCTTTCGCAATGAAGCTTTGCCCCATAAATGAGAACGCTTTGCTCACGTGTGTGTGCAAGAATGTTGAAGTTTCTTCGTAACGTAGACTTTCCTCAAAGGCACCACCAGGGAGAAGGGGGGGTCCCATTACCGGAACGTCTGCAGTTTGCATGCAAGTGCGCTGAACTCACAAATACGACCGCACACATAATGCGCAAGAACGGATTTTGCGGGTTTTTATCTCTTTTACGAAAATGGGGCTTTTTTCATGTGCTTCAATTACTCTCAATTTGAGTCACTATTGCTATACTACACTAAAAACTACAAATTATGATATCTATGCTTTTCATTGCTCAAGCTTGTCAGTTTAATTGATCTTGTCGCACACGCATAGGATTTACAATGGCGTCAGACTCCTCTCCTTCACTCACGCGACGATAATCATGGTAGGCATTCGGCCTGCAAACACTCGAGACATACGTTGTATTGTAGTCAGGTAAGTTAAGCGCAACCCGAGTTTTATTCAATACATTTACTAGACACATGGCGTGCATGTGCACTGCTGCACAGTGTTGGGTGTTGAAATTGGGCGTGCATGTTGGGTTTGGGTGTGCCCTTGAAAACGTTCACTATACTCCATTTAATATTGATGGTGGTATCAACTCCGAGCAAGGTGATTTGCCCGTAGCTAATCTCGTTTTCGGATAAGCCAACCATCCTTTATCTTTCCAAGTCAGTGCATGGTCCAGAGTATAAGCATGGCTGCACTAGGGCACTGCTTTGAGAACCACAGTAAATAACAAAACTTACACGGTATCTTACGTATTCGCCTAAGATGATACGATTTTGACTAAGCGTAAGTTAGCTGATAACATCATGGTCGATCATTTCATGATGATGTCACAGATAATGTCATATGCTGTTATCACGTGATCACAACAGTTTTTTTTTTTTGCATCTTTCGCGTTGGGAATGCCGACAATGAATGTACTCGTTCGAGGAATGTTCTACAGCCTTCGCAAATCCGAATATCATTGAATGTCTAATAAACAATATTCATAAATAATGTTTACTAATCAGCCTTCATAAGCATTCATTCACCACCTGTCACGCAGGTGACAAAAGCGCGAAGCGCAAGACGAAAAAGAAGATGCAGGAAGCCAGGGATGCCACGTCATCGTCATCCAACCGGCGACTGCGCTCCGCCCTCGGCCCATCACTGGGCTCCTTCGCCTTTGTCGCTTTCGTGCTGGTCGCCATAATCCTGGTGTTTGCTTACGCGATCGCCTTCCGTGGTAGTCGCGACACTCGGCGATCCCAAGAACTCGCTCTGAGGAAGGCGACAAATGGGACTCTGTTGCACGAATGACGAGCGATAGTTAATATAGCATGGCATAAGTTTGACAGAAATCGTGCAATAAATCTGATTTACCGTCTTTTTTTTCCTTTTTGTAACACGCAGAACATCGTAATATGAAGGTTATCGCGCGGGCGTCGATCAGCCCAGCGTACCAAAGCTCTAGTGGCCCATTTGAGAAAATATTGAAAAAATCAAAATTTTCCGTTCTCCACACGTTGGCTTTTAAACGCTAACACAGTCAACCTCGAGACGAACTCGCCAGCGTTTCTCTCACTTTTGGGGTTTTCATTTGCCTCGATGAAGCGTAGATTTGGTTGGGGTTTTCATTTGCCTCGATGAAGCGTATATTTGGTTAGCTCTGACCTTCGTGGACGATATTGAAAAACAAGACGGTTTCAGAGCATTTAATGCCTGGTTATGCCAAAGGATACAATGCAGGCGGTATCATTACTGTAGGTATCCTGGAGCGAAAATAAAAAGAAAGCTTCGTCCTCGTACGGGAGTGGCCGCAGCTCAAGACGCAGAAAAGAGAGTGAGTGAAGTTTGAAACCTCGAAAGATAATTCCCCACGAAAGGCCTATACGTAGGCTGTGGCGCTTTTGTGGTTTTTGGTTGACGCTCGTCTCATAGACTACCGCTGGACTGTAGGCATATACAAAGAACGTTGAAGCTGCCAGTACGGGAAAGCCTGAAGCTAAAAAAAAAATTAAGGTGAATGTAGCATTTGCATCAATAGTCATTAATAATCACTTCGGGCAGTAATAACCACTTCCAACTACATACTGCGCCGCAACACGTGCCAACTTCTGCCCCTCATAAAGAAGGAAATGCTGGCAACAATTACGCGTCCCGTTCGGCCGGCCTCATGAGCAGCCCAATATTCGCCAGGCTCCGCTATAGGCACCGCACGCTGACCGGAGGGAGCTGCGTTGCTCACACTTTTCCGTCTCAAAGTTTCTGACATTCACTGTTAGAGGCACGCAGAAAAGAGACGCCTGCTCGCGTGCCCAATGTATCCCGGGTACCATCCACTGACAGATGCATTTTCACGAACGCCATCTCAAGGTTTCTTTTTTTATCCGCTAGGCTAAATTCCGCTAGGTTTTTGTAGCATTGATGCGATGTGCATCAATACTACAAAAACCAGTCGTCAATGACAATTTCAAGAAAGAAGGCACCACTTACTTTCCTGTATTCAATAAATGTCGCTGCCTTAGGGGCTGTAAATTGTTATAATACTTAGGTTTAATAATCACTTCAGACCTCCGGTGGAATGAACATATCACTTTTCTAGAAAAGAAAGCCATGGGAAAGCTTGGATATCTTAGGAAGATCGTTACGACAGTCAACGCAAGAAATAAAACTATTAGCATATAAAACCTACATTCATCCCCTTTTGGAATATGCCTGCGTAGTCTGGGACCCATACACAAAGAAAAATATTGATAAACTAGAAAACCTACAAAGAAAATCTGCTCGATTTATCTTTCGCTCATGCAATCGCCTTACGTCAGTCACTGCTTTGCTTCAGACAGCGAACTTAAGCATTACATTGGCGGCGATATCACGAAAGACTAAAATATATGTATCTGCTCTACCACGATAAGCTTGGCATTGATTCAAGTGCATATATAGAAAAAGTTGTGCGACGACCCACGCGGACGGATCACTCAAAAAAATGACAGGAATTTTCTTGCAGAACGAACTTGTACATGGGCTCTTTTTTCCCACGAACTGTACGCGAGTGGAATCGCCTTTCTGGTGAGATTGTGGAGGCGGCAACAGTGGCGTCATTCTTATCGGAGCTAAAAAACTTATAGCATGTCTTCCTGCCATATTTGTAATCTTTGTTTTGTGACGTTGCGCTGTTAGTACACAAGTGATGTTAGTACGCGCTTATATAGGTATTATGCTATGCGCAATCGCATGTCATGCACTGTATATTTTTCTTTTACCGCGTTAAAACCTGTGTGTCCGCGACATTCTCTGCGCGTCATATATTGTAAAAATGTTCAGCGTGCTGTATTTATATGTTACCCACCTCCTGCTTATGGCTTTCACTTTGAAACCAGCAGAAATCCTGTAAATAAATAAATAAATAAAAATATTTTTAGCGCTGCAGTCAGATTGGGAAAACTCGACTGAACGGTACCTATACTTTAGGCGCAAGTAGCCCGTCAGCGCCTTAAAAGTAGATCGAAATTCAAGGCGCCTTGCAGTATACCTCCCTTAATGATGCGCTTACGGCGTGATGACACTACGCTCACACTGTCGTGTGGATGACATCACTCGTGTGCCACTTTTGGATAAGAGCGTATCATGTCTCGTTTACGGCGTGGCTCCGAAAACCGGCTGTTTGCTTTTTTCACCCCACGGCGGTCTAATTCTTAGTTGATTCACCAAAAGTGTGAGCACTTTCGTGCTTCAGTCTCGCACTCGGCTGTGTTTGGCAGCTTCGTATCTCGCGGCGTGCTCAGCTTCACGAATACGGGAGACACATCCCCGTATTCACAAACGCTCCTCGACTCCACTTTCACCCTTCACTTGATAGGGTTGAACACTGCACCACTGCCCGGCTGAAAATGACGCTGTGCTACTCAAGAATTGCAGCAGAATATCGCAGATAAGCAGTGACTTGCCGTGTCTATAGAAGGTGCTCTCATCGACTTTCTCAAGTGAAGCTGAAGCGTTAAGTGAAGGACGTTCCAGAATATGAGGGACAGTGTGTATGGACCACCCGGTGTGCACGAATCTCATGCGCTGCCATCACGCTTGCTTCGTTGCCTGACACGGTAGTTTCAAAACTGGACACGTAAACGTCGCTTTTCATCAGTGTCGTTAAGAAACCGAGAAGCCAGCTTCCTCGAAGGAATTCAATTGAGGTTGGCGTTTCCATGTGTCACATTGTCTTTCATGTTGTTTCCAATTCTGATTCGGGCACGAGTAAGTTTCCGCCAAAAATGTATTTTTGTTCGATAATACTCAGTTCTGTCATACCTTGTTTCACCCAAAAGTGTTTAAGCATAACTGACGTGTGCTATATTAACTGGGTGTTTGTGTGTTGGTGGGTAGTTTTTTTTAATTTCTGTTTCAGGCAAGTGTAAATCCACGCCAATGTTGGTAATGAAATTCAGTACGGTCTTTGTTATATTATGTAAAGGTGTGTAAGCTTGTCTGCCGTGTATACTAACCTAATAGAAGGGGTTTTTTTTTCTTCTTGGAAATGATTCCATGTTCGTAGACCTTTTCTGTGTCACTATCGGGATTCGGGTTATATAGGAAGTGCTTTTTCTGAAATAAAATTAATCGCGAGTGTAGCAAATGTCGTGCTTTGTTTTCCTCTTTGTCTGCGTAGAATTTGCGCTACTACACCACATGTTAAAATAATATATCACCAACTAGCCCAGCTCTCAACCCTACTGATCTGCATGGCTTATTCACGTCAGCCGCATAGTGCAACCTCATGTTAGTCCTCATGTTAGTCCTATACCTCATGTTAGTCAACTGTAAAACCTCTAATAATCTTAATTTGACAGTCAGGTTATCGTTTGATCTCCATTGCTTCGTGAAATAATTACCCGTAGATTTAAAATGACTTCTACTTGGACATATTTGGAAGACAACGACATTTCCTTCTTCAAAGCAGGTGCACACAAGCCTGCTCCAATGGCTTCGCGGTTCGAACAGATGTCGTGTACCGGATGACCTGTGGACATGCCTCCAGAGAACATGGCCTTGTTCGTGAGTGGGACTATTTTTTTATTTAGTCAGGGAGGGCATTGGCTACCGCGATTCGTTTATCTGGACGGGGCCCGACTATACGTTTCACACATCCATATTGCGCATTTAAGACGTGAACTTGAAGTCACCTAAAGTTCGATCGGCATTCGTTGGTCTAGGTTCTTTTTTTTTTTTCGAAGCTTGGAAAGGCGAATGTTGTGACCGAGATTTATATGTTAATGATGGTAATAATTGATAAATTCTGCGGAGCTTAGAGTGATGTCAATTGCACTTAATTCATTCATGTCCACTTTACATTTCTAAAAACCTGATCTGTTCATATATAGGTGTAGTGGCGGTGCACACACATTTGTACTTCCTGCGTGAAATGAAACACGAACAGCCGCAAGCCTTCGTGATGGCATAGCGCGCACCGTCCCCTTATCGCCACGAACAGGCATGCATATATGCGCAGAACTGCCAAAAAAGGTGCGCACGCCTGTCAATCGAGATAACTGGGCGGCACGTGCTATGTTATCGTGAAGGCTTGCCGCTGTTCGGGTTTCACTTGACACTGACAGTGCGGCAATGATAGCATCTGGATATCCGAACACACACTTTGTAACCACACGTTGTTATGAGCGAATGTGGTGCTCGTTAATGACGGTGTAGATCATTATGGTTCATACAAAAGGTTATTAGAAACTGTTAGTATATAGGTAAACGTGTGAAACCCTCGCAGCTATTTTTCGGTTCTGACAAAAAGCAATCAAACACTCTGAATGACTTAACCACTCAATTCACACTGATAATGTCTGTTATGCTGCGTGATGCTTGGATGCACACAAACAAGCTGGTGAAGTATCAGTACATTTAGTCGTGCACTTAGTTTACAATCAATATTTTTAGAAGCTCGTGTTCAGCCACAAAATCTGATAATACCTTGCAAGTGATGGCGTAACCAGCCGCTCGTTTTGAAAACGTCTGTGTTTCAGTCAACGACTGTTTCGTGGTCAGCTAAGCGTACTATGGATCTATTTCCGCATGCCTCAGCTTGGCTTCAAGAAGTGAACAATGTGCAGGTGCTCAAGCCTAGTGGGGCACATCGGCTCAAGTTCACGAAGCACATGACGACGCACGTGTCATGGCTAAATTGTGGTCCCTGACCACGGCCGGGCTTGATAGTAGACAAATTCTAGAGCCAATTTTAAAATTGAACGTTATTTTGCACTCAGTTTTTTTATGAAGGGGAAGTGGACCCTCTACATCTATATTTTGCGGAAAAAGCAATTTGGGGGGTGAGCGTATTATCATTCTTGATGACGTTTCAAAAGAGTCATAGTTCTGAACTCAGCATCGCTTTTCAACACAAAAAACAGAGTTGCCACAAAACACTGCGGTATTTAAAAAAAATTGAGTCGTTGAAGAGTGCTCTCCTACTCGTTTTCGGAGCAAAGCTTCCACCATACAAAAAACATCCCTCTGCTGCATCATTTTCCTCTTTGTATCGCGCTCGCAAAATGCTGCTTTTATCTACTTTTTACGACTGGAGATAGTTTAGCCAAGCGCTATTTGAAAAGCATATGCTTGCAATTGCTATACTGTGGCGTTCACAATAACCAGATGCTGTTCATTCTATGCTTTCACGAAGTAAGCCTAAACATACAATTGTGCGAACAGATACGCTCTTGTCACATAAATGGCCGCAAGTCTGTGTACACGAAATTCAGTATTACGCTCCCCTTCAAGAGAGCTCAGCGTGTGGGGGAGAAGACGGATGCAAGGGGAAATTGTAGGTTTGAGGAGGAGCACCACGGGCGCGAGCATAGGTGAATGTTGTCACGTTGCTCTACAGTGACTCAGTTTCCCCACTGTTTTGCTGCACAGCTCGAAAACACAAGCGTTTGTACAAGACACAGTGATTACCACTCTTTTCGTTAAACAATGCTACCCACGGTGCTTACAAGATGCAGCTAATGAGCAGGTATGTACTCTAGTTCTCCATCTTACAATACTTGCCCAGTGTACAGCCATGACCGGTGGTACAGCAGAATAAACTAAACTATATAAATCTTAAATAGGAAATGTGCAAAGTAGGTTTTATACATGTGTTGATCAAGTTTAGTTGCATAGCTACCACTAAAATTATCTTAAACTTTCACAAATTTGTTTGAGGAATTAAATAAACACCACATGGTACTGGTATTACTCGTAACCATGAATGCCGATGGGCATGGCGTGCAAGTTTTTGACACTCAGGCTGACACCAGAATACACTAATTACTTGATCTAATGCAAAGTAATATTTAAAAGCGTTATAGTGTACCCATGAAGAGATATGCCAACGCCGCACTGTAGCTGCTTTGAGGGACGCAAGCGATTCTCAGAAAAAGATATGGAATCTGATTGATCAGATCTCTTAAAACAGAACGTTTAAGCGCAGACAAAAGACAGAGGGAGAAGATAGAAATACAAGCGATCTTGATTTTTGTAGTTCGTTGGGGTTCGTCTCAGAGCAAAGTAAAAAGAAAACACTAGAGCCACTCATGGTAACGTAATTTTATTCACGTGGTAAAAACGTAACTTTTTCATTCCCGTTACGTCCTGGTTGACATGAACCTTGTGTAAGGAGAGATTCAAATAAAAAATTCTCAATGCGAAACGTGTGTCTATCGCGAATGAAAGCGAAAAGAAAGAAAAACTGCCTGCGTAAGCCCACCATGGTACGTCTGTCCTGAAGATTGAAAGCCGCCACTCATGCAAATGAAAACTAGGCCGCCAATGCCTCTCAGTCAATTCATGTGCAATTACCATTATGGCCTTCTGAGTGGCATGCCAGCTTAGTTACCCTTGAACATGAATTAAGAGCAATGTAATACAGGCCCCCTATTCACGTTCCCCGTCTCCCGAGAATTGACTTCTGTGCTGCTATGGCCGTTCAAAATGGCGCAGCGCACACCTTCGGCTAGACTCTGCCTTCTTGTGCGACTTAATTTTGTGGGAGTCTTTTCGGGGCACGCACCCGTGTGGCGCGCTGTATACACAGTCTTCCACTCTTCGGGGGAACAAAGATATCCGCGACAGCACTCCATGGAGTCTCCAGTGAATTAGGTGCAGACGCGCATAAAACGAAGCCACGCATGAGCACAGGGGGGGGGGGGACCGTTATTCATTTTATTTATTAGAAAATACCTGCAGTGTCTGAGGGCATTATTTCAGTAGAAGGAGTACACAGCGTAACACACGCTTACATAAAAGAACTATTCAAAAACAAGATGAACACACAAAGCAGAGCTTCACAATATTGCATCTATGACAGTAGCAATATGTCCCTGAAAGATGCTTTAGTGCGGCAGTCTGCAATCTCCCGGGGAAGCCGATTTCACTGGGAGATTGTGAGCGGAAAAAAGGAGTATCGGTAAATGTCTGTTCTGGAAAAAATTTATCCTAATTTTAGAGGGTGGTCAGTTCTCTTAGATAAAAGATGTGAAGGTGAAAGGTAAGGTTGTCTATCTATTTTGAACAGCCCATTCAATATTTTGAATATCATTTCTAATCTCAAGTTTTTTTCTACGTGATACTAACAAATCCCACGCTAACCTATCCTTAAGCGCAGTGACACTGACCCTGAAGTCATTGTTCCTAGTCACAAAAACCGAGCTGCGCGGTTTTGTACGATCTCGAGCATATTAGACAGTTTTTGTTTGTGGGTCCCACACACACAGGCGGGCTACTCTAAGATAGGTCGGACATTGGAAAGGAGACTATTCTCTGATTTTAAGAGGATCTATACAGGAGGTACCGTTTAGCAAGTTTAAACATTCTGCAAGATTTCGCTGTGACACATTCAACGTGCTTAGTCCAGCTAAAGATTTGATGAAAACTAAACACCAAGGTATTTATACTTAGTTGATCGCGTTAGCTGGATGGCATCTAATGTATAAATCAACAGGTATGGTCGCGTTAACGAGTGAGGAGACGCACTGCCCCTTCCTAGGGTTCCAGACTCGTACGCCACTTATCACGCCAGCACTAATACTGTCTAAATCGCGTTGAAAGTAGTGATGGTGGTAGGTGAATCTAATACAGTGGTAAACCACACAATGATCGAATAGCATGGAAAGGTGGGCTAGTTGAGTGCTCATGCTGTGTGCCTCCTCTTTGCTTCGTGTCTGTGTTACTTCTGCGCTCCCAGTTCGCTGAACAATCACACAATAATCTGCATACAGACGTATTTTGCTGACACATTCTGAGCAATATCATTGATTTACATACACTAGGACAGCAAAGGTCCCAACACAGATCCCCGTGGAGCTTCCAAAGTAACCGCAACATATTAATCAGTCGTGCATGATAACGCGGTAATCTGAGATTAGTGACCGTGACTGATTGTGGCCTACGTTATGATAGTCCCCTTTTCTTGGCGCATGATCGGCCAAGGAAGATATGTCTTCTGGTGAAGAAATAAATGCTTCATTATCGAATGAGCTTGCCACTTTTCAGCGAGAATTCATAATTTAGCTCGTCCGCAGATTTTAAACGCCTTGTGGGATACATTTTGCTTCACACTAAAGCAGATAGTAGATGTTCCAAGTAACATTTGTCTGCCAAACAACGCAGTGACAAGGCCTCGGCTTACTCTGAAGTCAAGCGAATGATCGATCAAGAGACATCGTCTTTTGAATGCTTATAGAAAGCACGCAATCCTGGTGTAATTTTGGGGCTCAAGTCACTTAGAAAATATATTAAAGCGTAATACCAGGATCAGAAAGGAAAAATATTTCCTAACATTGGCCCAAAGTTACAAATTAACCCGGAAAAATGTGGAAGTGTTTAAATCAATCAGCAAAGAATCATAGGCATCCCGAGCATAACGAAGGCGGTGTATTTTTAATTGATGACCCAATAAAGCTTCTGCTTTCAATTGCTATTTTCAAGCTTCTTTCACGCACCCTTGTCCCAGTGATGTACCGTGTATCCTGACAATGTCATTGAAACAATGTCCAGAGCTGGTGGTAACACTAGGTAGTATACTTAAGTTACTTGACAGAATAAAGGCTTCTCCTGCAAACGGCCCTGACAGTGTACTGTCTTACGTGTTAAGGGCTTGCTGGGATATAATTGCCCAACACCATTGTTTTAATTTTGAGAAATCATTGCGTACTTCTTGTTTACCTAGTGAATGGAAAGTCGCTAATCTGTTTCGATCCATAAGGGTGGCCCAAAAATATTGTCTCTAACTACAAGCCGCTTTCTCTAACGAAGCATGTGCAGCAAAACAACGGAGCACATAGTCTACAGCGTCGTAATGAAGCATCAAGAAAGTAGGAATTTTTTTTACCGAATGGCAGCATGGATTTCGGTCTGGTATTTCTTGCTCACACGGCTCGTACGAGTTCTTGTCATTATCTTTTTGCTCACTTGACCTTGGGATGCAGACGGCTGCATATTCCTGGACTTCCAGAAATCACTTGATTCTGGTGCCCCATGTTCTGCTGGCTGCATAACTCTCATTCCTCGTATTACTCCTGCATTGCTTGATTAGATCAGGTGTTATCTACATACCGTATGCAACGTATCGAAAGTACTGGTTCCCAATCTGAATGATGAGCTGTTACTTCGAGAGTTCCACGGGTATCTGTGTTGGGACCTTTACTGTTTCTAGTGTACACCAACGATATTGCTCAGAATGTGTCATGTCTATTAGCAGTTTCTGTACTAAAGCGAAGCAAAAGCAACGCGCTACATCGTCGTAGCAGACCATGTGAAGCACCCACCACGAGCTCCTGTTCATCTCGTCCCTACGTGCATGGCCACGCTATAAGCGCTGGCACTCCACAGAGCATTGCCATTGTTTGTTTGCACAGGGTGACTACACCTATTGATCTCGCCGCCGCCATATTGTTTCAGACAGTGAAGCTATCGCATTGCGTGACGCCACCGTATTTCGTCACCACGCTGTACGAAGGAACGCTGGCACTGAGGCGACCATGGTGACCTGTGTACAGCCTAACAGCCAGAGGCCCACACGTGCCCATCCCCCTTTGTGTACTGCAAAGTAACTACTATAAGTATTTTTTCTTATACACTACAACATGATTACTGCAGTGTTGTAACGTCGTGATATCATTTTCTTGTTTTCTTATGTATCTACGTTGTAAACATTTCTGTGCCTTGCAGGTAACTGTAGGAATTCCAACAAGGCTTCATGGTCATGTGCTTCACGCTGCACCAAGGCAATTTCCACGGCGCGTACAAACGCTTGTTCACCTTCCGAGCACTCCTGTTGATTGTTGTCCTGGGAGCCCTGGCGTACATTATTTCTTCCATCGCCAGTCGTGCTCCCCAAGTGAAGACTTATGAGCCACTCGTCTCCACATCTACGGAGTCCTCGGCCGAACAGGACAGAATCACGCGTGTTAGAACAATTTATATTTACGATACTTTCTGATTATAACATGGTTTTTCGGAAATAACAATAAAAACATTTTTAGCTTCTGTAAATGTTAGTGTATTTTCTTCTGCCAATAAGGTAATGTGCATCCTAAGCAAGAGTAAAATTAAAACATTACAGGATTATCCATTTGAAAAGGCGGGGTGACAGATTATGAAAGCTGCCCTCATATTAAAAATTTGCCGAATTGTGCGCATGATAGGACTCAGCACCCACCATCTTGGCAATGACGGGCACATGATGGGTGATGGTGGGAGTATTTGACGGATGATAGATGAACGGTGGGGGATGGACATACACTGGGTGTACAATGGGGCACGGGCCGATGACAAGTATATAATGATCAAGGTTGGATGCCCGAGTCAAGGTCGACTTATAAACTGCACTTTACAACGTAATTATAGACTACATTTTATTATCTTGCCTAACGAAAATGGACGCCAAAGTCATTAGTAAAATAAACGGAAATACACAAGAAGGCACATTAAGGCCTCCCGTGTTATGTGCGCACTGGCTCGGAGGCTGCAACGCTCCGATAATTAGCTGGCGGCGTGCCATTGTGTTGCCGCGCTTGGGTTTTCGTGCACATGCGTGACTGCCACGTTTTCCTCGACATCACTGGTATAGCGTGCGTTTGTAGAAACATCACTAGAAGAAAATCGGTTCGCACCAACCATACTCCATTACATTGCAGGCTAGTGGGCCTTGTCTTGGACCACAGAAAAATTCTTACCACACCGACATTCGTATAAGCCGCAAGTGTATCGCCAAGGTTTTACTTTATTTTTTTTAGTTAAGCTGACTCGTAGCTTTGTTATTCACTTTTTATAGGTACGTGCTACGTTTATGTCATGCTTTATTTTAAGGAATCAGGTGCAGTTTCAGAGGAACATTTAAGGGACGTGGCGCTTACTACCACAGCTTATTTGGATTTGGCACTTGTTCAGGCAGGAAAAGAGCAGCCAAAGAGCTATGATGATTGTTTTGCATTTAGACAATTTGGTCGTGAAAACCGACTTTAAAAAGTCTCATTAAACGCACTCAGCGGCATGACCACAGGTGTCTTTATTTTTATAGCAGCTTTTATAACTCGGCCTAACAAAGCCGTGGCAGCTGTGATGTGATATAAACAGTTTTATTTAGCGCCGCAGCAACACCTTTTTGCCTGCATTTATTTTTTGGACTTGGCAAGAGTATTCGGAGAGATGTTCACACCGATGACTGCTTAATAGACAGCTGCCAGGTATGAAGAAATATGGCGCTTCACATTTCCTTGCGAATGCTCATTTATATTGGCCAATGATGCTCTACTTTGTGGTGTCATTCCACTCATCGAAGGTGAGTGAGATTGACTGTGCTGACATTCTGAGTTGTTCTCAATCATTAATGAGGTATTCAGTGATACCTTGAATTCTAGCCACAAGTAGTGGAGCGTGCGTCTTCTTCGTGGAGTAACAGACACACGCATCGACTTTCAGTTTCCTAATGGTGAACTCTCAATAAATTCTGATGGTGAGTTACAGATCATACTATGTTTCTCGTACCTTTGACGATCGTTTTGCAATGCACGGGAATTTGAATTTGCGTTTCTTTTTCCTTGTTTTTTTCTTTTCCGTGACATCTTGCATTTTCACGCTTCTCGCAATAGTATTTCAACCGTTCGGCAGTGCAAATAAAATGTGTGTTATCCTAGCTGTAAATGCTTCGGCGGTGTATTTGTAACTAACTTTATTCGCTGGACTACTTCAAAATGGATGATGTCACATGCAACGTCTAAACTGCTCTATTCTTAAGGAATCATGTGTTTTGGGCTTGAAGTTCTGAATAGCGGAAATTGTATTGTCATAAGTATGAAGAAATCACAACAAAAACGCAAGATAGTCCACAGGTCGCGGGATGGAATGCCGGTTGTGGCGACTGCATTTTCGATGGAGGCAAAAATGCTGTGCGCCCGTGTGCTCGTATTTCGATGCACGTTAAAGAGCCTCATGTGGTCAAATTTTCCGGAGACCTCCACTACGGCGTTTCTCATAATCTTATGGTGGTTTCGGGACGTTAAACCCCACATATTAATCAATCAATCGATCAGCATCGAGTTCAAAGTTCCAAATGATATGAAAAACTAATTGAGCACTCAGTGTGGGAACTTCGTAAATTTAGTTATTATTGGTGGGCAAATTTCTTATTTTAGAATTTATCAAGATTGTAGAAAACATTCTTTCATTTTCTTTGCGGTCCTTCTTAGCAGATGTCACCTGTGGTATCCTACTCGGGTGTCGCAGTATGTGAGTTAAACTAATTTACTTGTGGTTTATTTTGGCCGTTCTTTTTCCCGTCCTCACTGTCTTATGGCTGTTCGAAATAGAGTGCGGTAAGCTGGCCCGACAGCAAGGATTGTAAATGGCCTTCTCGCTGCCACGTAGTGCTACCATGGATGGTAAGTTTTTTTATGAGATCTATTTAGATAACATTTATGTTTTGCGTCCAGTAAAAATCCTGGAAAACAAAGACAACGGCAATAAAGGTAATCACAGGCAACAGAAAGTGGACTAATCCCAACTCTATACAAAATCGTGTTTTGATCACATTCAACTGGGCGCACATACGACTTTCAGTTGTAATTCTTTATCTTTCTCCGCAAGCCGCGCATAAAAAAAGTTGCTCGATATTCCTTTG